AGGTAGTCTAACAAGCCCATAAGCATGGTTAGTCAATCATCTTTGACTCTTCTTGCTTTAGAGTGCCTCCCTAAAGGTCCTTGTTTTTTAGTTTTGCAACCCTTCAACCATATTCAAAGCGTAACACCCAAGACTAGCATAATCGTCCAATTGGTATGGTACAATTTACCTATTTATCTTATCACAAGTCAAATGATAATCAGAGGTCTCTGTAATCATTTACTCACTACTACTAGTATCTGTAGTAGAAAACTCCACCTCAAATTGAGTCTTCTCCACCATAGTTTCTAAAAACTTCATCCTCGGGTCTTTGCTCACCTTCCCATAGAGGAACTCACTGAAAATAATACATATGTGATTGATGAATTTCAATCCTCTAGGTTTCACTCCCAACAACTCCTAAATTTTCCTTCCTCTTGGATAGCCATTGAAGACACAATCCACAAATTTACCATCAAGATTATTAGGCTTGATTTGATAAATAATAGAAGTTTTTGTGAGCTTTAAATAAGAGTGGTTTCATATTTCCTACTACAAACTACCATAAGTGTTCGGAAGTTTATTGTTGTAAATGAACATTTGTCGACCATGTGAGCTACTTTGGCACCAGCCTTACTTTAGAAACTCAATGACAACTTAGTGGTTAAATGTGTATTTATCTATGGTCTTCTGCGAAACTCATTAAAGTGATCTGAAACAACCTATAGACATCCACCATGCTTTGACCACACATCTCATAGCTTGTCCTTGTCATGAAAGTCGTCACTAGTTGATGATGAATGAACAACAACACTAGAACCTTCTAAAATATATAAACCACATATTGTAGACCCTTTAACTATGATCACTTTACCATGTGAAATCTTTAACAAAACGTGTTCAACTCTAATGCAATATCATATATCATAAACATGCTTATGAAGAAGAAACTCACGATCATCGAACATGTTAAGTCTGATCATACCAATACTATAAAACTTGCAAGCCTTTTGTCACCAAGGATAACTAGTCCACTTTGCTCTAGCTTTAAAGTCTCAAAGTATTATTTTCTATGACACATGTGATAAGAGCAACTTGAGCTCATGAATCAACCATTTTTAGTATTCAAACTCGACACCACTAATGCACTAACACTCTCATAAATAAACGCATCTTAGGAAAATGTAATCTGAAGAGAATCAGCATTGCCCCTCCTCTCAGAACAATCTCTCGTGAATTGACATGGTTTCTTACATGTAAAGCATTTTATCTTTGACTTGTCAAACCTCTTTAATTTGGAAATTTATCTACGCTCACTTTCCCCTTTTGAGAATCTCAAGTCTTCACCACTATCATCAATCTTCAAATCTTTCACCTTTGAAAACTCTTTGGATATTATAGCCGTCTGGACTTCATTCAAAGTAAAAGCATATCCCTTACCATAAAGAATGGCATCCTTAAAGTGCTCAAACGATCTAGATAATGAGCTCAACAAGAGTAGAGCCTTATATTCATCTTCAATATTTTAGATCAATCAAGATTTGCAATCAACATTATTGAAGATTAATCTTGTGCTTTTGAGGTTCCATCCAAATTCATGGCAAAACCCTACTGGGCTTTCTAGCCAGACTTTTTATACTATTTAAGAATGCGAAGACTTAGACCTCAAGAGAAAATATCTACTCTATAGAAGTGTTTTAGTTAAGTCGTGTATTTGTAGTTTCTGCCACTTTATTCGTGAGCAATAATTTTAAATGCACCAAATAGAATTTTGAATTGTATTAGAGTTTTATCTTTTATCTATGTAATTTAATAAATATTTGGGAAGGTGCTCGAGTGAAAGTGAGAGGTGACTTAGATTCAAGTGGAGCCCTGATTAGTATTAGGAAAGCGGCAATAAACAAAGTGAGTTCAGATAAGATCAATCGTACCTTTTGACTATTAGTATTAGAAGTGAAGTTTCTTTATGAGAAAGATTGGACCGAAATTTATGGGTAGTATTAGGAAAAGAGACATTCAACTTAAAGAGTTCAAATTAGGTCGTTTGTACTTCTAACTATTAAGAGTGAATTTCTTTTTATTGGATTAACGTCCTCCAGACGTATGTGATTTTGGACCGAACTGAATTACCAATTCTTATGCTATTTATATTTTGATTTTATTTTGTCTGCTACGCATTTACCTTGCCAAACACATTATCCCAACATTGTATCTGATATCTTGTCATTCAAAAAACATAATTTCAAATTATTTTTTTCTCCTATTTTCTTCATTTGTTTTCCTTTCTCTTCTTTCTTCATTTCCCTTCAATTCTCTCACAGAATTAAAATACTTTAAGCTCAAATAGCATCAAAACGTCAATTAATGCTCATTAAAATTATACGATAACAAACAACCACTAATATACAAAAATTAGCAAGAAAGAAACACAACATATAGATTGATGGGGTTCAATGATTTGAAGAAAAGAGACACACGGAATAGAAGAAGCGTGAAAAATATATATGAGAAAAAGAAACAATACTGATAAAATAAAATAGATTTAAAAAGGTAGATTTTGAATAAAAAAAAATTCTCGTTTTAAAATATGTGATGAAATGGGATAGAATCAGTATAAAATAATTTTTACACAATCATTCATTCAATAGAAATTTATCAATCTAATATCAGCAACATTTACACTATAATATGACAGAATAGATACGGATAATTGATATTTTTACACAATCATTCAATAGAAATTTATCAATCTAATATCAGCAAAATTTACACTATAATATGACAGAATAGATGCGGATAATTGATTAACAGTATTAATATGACAGAATAGATGCGGGTAATTGATTAACAGTATAAAATTATTTTAGACTGTCATTGCATACCAATTAAATTCTCATTCTATTCCTTTTCATTACATTTTCTTAAATCAAATAATGTTTTAATTACATGCTAGTTGAGTTAAATATATATAATATACTTGTCCAGATTCAATTTTTTGAGACAATATTTATTTATATATAAGTATTAATATAAATTAGTTGATATTTATAAATCAATATCTTTAAATATAAAAAATTAAGTTATATTACATTTATAAAGTTAAACATGACTTGAATATGTTTAACTCAAATAAAGTTTTCCTTGAGTAAAAAACAATACAAATTAAACATAGCTACAATTGAAAATGATGAATATGTGAACAGTTTCACAATATAAAGTTAACGTACTTGACAGTTAATTATTTCGTACAAAAAGAAAAAGATATTTTGATTTTAAAGGAAGTAATATATGTTGCAGCTAGAATAAAAAAATCAAGTAAATCAAAATTTCTTAGTATTACAGATTTTGATATTAATAATCTAAATTCATATTTCGCTATTTTTAAGTAAAACATTTTTGAAATAAAAAATTTATATTTAAAAAAGAAAATAAGAAAATGTGACACCCAGAAGTAACGGTTTCAATTCAAAACAACTATTGGGAAGTTCGACTACTAGTCGCTCCCGTTGAAGAATTCACAAACTCTCAACTCAATACATTAACAACAAAGTGCCTTGATTGATGGTGCAATATCAGAACTTAAAGCAACAGAGGGCTAAAAAGGAAGAGTTTTGATTTCTTTGTATGTTTAGCACCATAAAAAATGGTAAAGGATGATTACTACTAAACAAACCATATAATCAAAGAAGAGATGCAGTCATTTTCTCCCAAAATCAAGACATGTAATGTAAATAAAGATTACACCAAATGGTAGTGAAGTATATAAGAGATATATCATGTCCTAAAGTTTGAATACAAGTAGGAAAAGATAAGAACAAAGTCTGCAACTTCCCAAGTCCAAATATTGTCAGATAAGCCTTTCAGAACCATTGCAACCTTCTTCCTCTAATTCAAATATGACTGAAGGGGCTATTTTGCCCATTTTAGCAAAGAATGGCAACTTCATCAGTTACTTTAAGGAATGTTAAATACTGGTTCTCAGAAGCTTAATAAATTGATGTTTTCAGCCCATATACTAGAAGAAATTTGACAAGTGTACATGGATGAGATTTGACCTAAAATGCCATACGCCCCATATGCTAGAAGAAATTTGACAAGTGTACATGGATGAGATTGACCTAAAATGCCATACGCCCAGCCAGTCTGCTTTCAAGTATCCTCTTATCTATGGCCGCATCGATAGAGCTCATCTGCAAGATAAACATGATAATACTGATGAACAAGTAGTCATAGACCGCAAATTACAACAAATAAATTATTTGGGAGCATGGTCTTGTGCAAGAGATCCAAACTCTACGAAAGAAGCTGACCTGGGCCAAGTCTGAATTTCACTTGTTCCATAAAATAAATTGTAATGATGCTACGAATGAGCAAAAATCTGTTGGGTAAAGATCATGTTCCACCCAAAACCCCAAACTTTGAAATAAAACAAGGGGGGAAAATAAGAAAATTGGTAAAACCAAACCCAACAAATATCACATACATACTCTTTAATCGTGTTCAAATGCTGGGATGCGTTGACACAGCACACACTGAACAGTTTGACTCAAACTTGAGAGAAATTAGAAAATTTGGAGATAATCGATGGATAAAATGCAATTATTCAATGAATTGCAAGTTTTACACAATTGGGTAACCAACTGGGGCTAGACATCACTAACAGAATTCAGTTACTCTTTCAACTGACATTATGTTCCAACACTTTTACTAACAACTAACTAATTTTAACTGTTTAAACTAACCTGAATTACACAATTCAATAGGATGAAGGATCACGAAGTTGATTGTGTGCAGCAAGCTTCACAAATTATGTTGTTAAAATTAACTAAATGGAATTAGTAGAATAGCTACTTGAATCTTTATATGGCTACAAAATTGAAGCATTGCTTGTAGCTACAGTGGCCCTTTAAAAAATGTAATAACCATTTAGGTGGGAAGCAAGAGGGAGGATTAAAATGATCATTTGATTTTAGCTATTTATTGTTTTAAAATGATTAGAAACTTATACAGAATGTACCTCTTTAAATATATGTAAACAACTGAATCTGAAAACAGAAATCATAAAGCCTACTCATCTGGTTAGATGTGATAGCAACTCCATGTATTAAAAAGGTAGTATGACTTACCTGGCTACTTTCATCATGCACCTGATATTTTGTTAAAGACATTCTTCTTTCCTCCTACAGCAACAAAGCATTAAAACATTATCAACCATGCAACAATCCTATATTAGTAGTCAAATGAAACAGCAGATTTTTTTCAAGAAGATAACTGACCATGGACATTGCCTCGTCATCCCAAACTAAGTAGACTTCGTTAGTGGCAGGCTGAGTAGCAGGAGCTTTGTTTGAGATTACTGGGGGAGGTCCAATTGAAGGACCACCGGTATTTGGGCCAGACGCATAAGAATGTGAGTTACTTGCTGTCCCGCCTATAAGAAACCAATGGGAGAAGGAAATGAAAATCACACGGATAGTATAAAGTCGCCTTTAGATGAAAACAATAAATTTTGAGTGCCAAGTTTGTTACTTGTATCTAACATACTCAGTAGTGTCAAAAGCCAGTCATAATGGTTCAAGGAAAGAATAGAAAATGTTACCTTGAAGCCCTATTGCTTGATAACTACTTGTCACAGAAGAGTTAATGCCCAAATGTGCATCAATAGGGACATTTGAAGAAAATACAGGAGTTACTGATGGAACAGTTGATGACAGAGGTGCAGCAGAAAATGGTGAACTTTGAGCCGTTGTGTGATTATTTCCAACAACGGGAAATAAAGGCTGTGAAACTGGGACAGAAGGTGTAGATGTTGGCAGTCCAGGAGGAGTAATCTGAGTTTGTAATGCGGGTGAATTAGTTGATGGCATTGGAGGCCTCACATTCTGCACAGGAAATAATGGTTGATGTGCGTATGGAACAGGAGGGGGAATTGAAGCAGCTGGAGGCTGAGGATACCATGGCTGAGGTCGAGGTGGAGCCACTCCCCAAGCATTAGGAGGTACTGGTAGAGCAGGATTATAACTGTAGCAGAGAGATAAGTAAATGGATAGATTTCGTGACACCTTTCTAATTAGCAAAATATGCATGAATATAATACTTCTACAACATTCCAAATAAAACAGGAATTCAACTAGGAGAAATAAAATGAAAATAAATTTTAACAAGCATACATTGGTCGAATTGTTCCCAACATAGTTCGTGGAGGATACCCGGCACCCATAGGAGGTGGCGCCATTCCACCTAAAAATGGAGATGATGGGATTTCTACCTTGGCTGTCTTTGATGGAATATCATCATCTGCATTACATACAAAATTGTCAGAGAATATTAAACCATTTTATGTGTAAATCAACAATATATTTACCATCATTAACAATATTTGTACGAAGCCTGTATCTAAAATAGAAAAATGTACAAAACCCTCTTGACACCAACAAAACATAACAATGCAGAAAACAACAGCTACCAGACATGTCTGGTGTGCGATAGAACATGATCTGGAAATGAGAGAAAGAAAATTTATTTTATTTAATGAATGTAAACTAATCTCAAATCTTTTAGAGACTTGAACTCTCGACATTGATGATCAAATTCAATGCCCGCACCTATCTGATGGAGCAGGGTCAGATAGGGAGGGGAAAAAAGTAGAAATAATCTCCAGATCAGTGATAAATTTCAATGCTTACTCTTGTGTCCCTGCTCCCTTAATAATAATATCCTGCTGATAACTAACTAACTAAGGCTAACCAGAAGTTACATCTGTAACAATTAGAGGCCTTCTGCCCTGTATCCCTCCTATTTCTCTCACTACACACCCCCTAATAAGAGGTTTCAGCTCCCTATTGATCTGATTATAGATTAAAATATTTGGCAACAGTTATTAAAATGGAAAATTAACAGGGAAAAAAGGGTCCAGCGCTGTTTGTAGAAGTAATTTCGTTCTCCTGTGTATCAACTATGAAAAAGAACTAACCAACAAGGAGAATAAAATATATAAGAGAGAAAAAAAAGGTATTAGACAGGATATTATGACCTTCATCTCCATAATGGGAAGCCAATACATCCGGCGGAATCCCTTGCATTCCATATATTTCAATATCTGTACTCTCTCTACCAGGTTTTGCATTTGGCACCCTGAACAGAAAAACAAAATAAATCATAGTTCATTAAAATTTACAGTTCGATAACATTCCACAAGCATTTATACAAACATTAGTATGTTGAATTACATGTACGAATAAAAATAAAAAAGCAAAATCGAAAACCCTAAAAGATGAAAGAGAAAAGGAATGTACTTGGTGACGTTTTCCTTGTGGACCTGAAGAACGTGAATGGACATACCACCAGCAGTTGAAAGCTTCTTATGACAGACATGGCACTTAAAGTGCTTAGCTTTCTGATGCTGAACCAAGATCTTCTCGTCGTCGAATTCACGATCGCAATAATAACACCATACTTTCGAAGCGACTCTCTTCTTCTTCTTCCCCATAAATACGCCGATACCGATAACCACGTCGCTAGGGTTTGGAGGCTTAGGTCAGCGCCGTTGAACCACCCTGAACTGCGACTGCGATGGAGGAAGAAGAAGACCTAGGGTTTCTCAAACTTTGTTTTCTCTTCTTTTTATTTTTGCAAGTAAAGAAAACGAAACACAATAGGGCCAAAGTTGTAAATTATTATACGCGCGTGTGGTTATTTATGCAATTATAGATAGTTTGGTGGCTAAATTGAAATATTTATTTATTTGACTGATGGTGATGTGATATATCTACGGTTTGTGTTAAACGATTGGCAATCTATGGCTGAATATACTGACGCTATGGTGGTCCCAAAGTGAAGATTGCATAGTTCACCTTGAGATAGCTATTATATGGAGTTATCAAGTGGATCGGTCCGGCCAAATCCGGATCGACTTAGTGGGCCAACACTTATAAATAGATTAGAGTGGACCAATCTAATTTTTCATGAATTGTTAAAATTGAGTTCGGTCCAGATCTTTATAGATTATACAGCGTGATGGATCATACCTGCCTGTATATTTCAATATTATAATTTTAATTTTTAAATTTAGAGACAATAAAATACAATCATACATAATAAAATAATTACTCGTCTATCCATTCAAATTAGATATAAAGATAAATTATCTAGTAGACAATTTTTTGGCCAAGTCCCATAATGAATCCAACAATTGTCACATAGTATAATTTAGAGATAATAGAATACATTCATACATACACTAGTAAAAGACCCGTGCGTCCGCACCGGTCCATTAGTTGTAATTAATAAATAATTTATTTGTGTGTACATATAAATATGAAAAGATAAATGTAATTGTTTAATGAACTTTAATAATATAAAATAAATAAAATTTTAAAATTATGAAAAAGGAAAAATAAAAAGAAACAAAAAATGAAATGATGTTAATATGATCTTCATAAATTTAATGGTGTCGTATCTTTTAAAAAAAAACAAAGATCTTTCATGTACCAATAACTACGGCTATACTTTGGGGAAAAAATGAAAAGAACAGATGATTTGCAATATATAAGCACAAAATAGAGTAGTTAAATTGAATAAGAATGTCAAAGAAAAAAAAGGAAAGACACAAAAATTAAAATAAAAGAATACAAGTGTGTTACAATCATTTATGATATTAGGTAGATTGTGAACCATCAATCTCCTTAATGAACAAAAGTCTTCAACTTGTATAGAAAAACATATATATTAGATGTAAACTCACAATACCATTTGTAATAGACAATAAATGATACAAAACAGTCTGCATTAAAATACCTATGAGATATTGTGAAAAACTTCCTTGAAGACAACATTAGTGGTAGTATGCATAACCTGTTTGTGTTTGTCATGAATCAAAATCTTAAGACCTTCCTTAGTCCTAACTCTAGAAAAAGCGACATACAATTGACCATGACTAAAAACATCTTTTGGTAAGTATAAACCAACGTTGTCTAAAGATTGACCATGAGATTTGTTAATTGTCATAGCAAAAGAAACAATAGTTGGGAATTATCTTCTCACCAATTTAAAAGGCCATGGTGATTGTGATGGAGATAAAGACATTCTTGAAATATAAATGATGTTAACAATATTCTTTCCAGAAATGATCTTAGCTTCAATGACATGATTAGCAAGCCTTGTTATTGCGAGTCGTGTACCGTTGGATAATCCTTCAGATTGATCCAAGTTACGCAACAACATAATTGTGGTCCCAATTTTCAACTTTATTAAATGATTAGGCAATCCAGATGTTTTAAGAGCATTCAAGAATTCAGGTGTCAAGTGTTCAAATGCATCAAAGTCAGTTGCTTCAGATCTATCTACATAATCGCTACTGAAGTATTCTTTTTCTTCCCCTTTAAAACATAAAAGAAAAATGTATTCGCAGTCAATGATAAATAATAGAAATACAAAGGTTACTAAATTAAATATAGTATGAGAGCATGAATAGTACCTGACAAAAAACTTGTGATGTATTCATTGATATCATCTACTACTTCAATAGTTGAAGCCAGAATTGCACGACTTTGAAGGTAATTGGAATCATGGTAGTTATGAATGAGATCGGGGTAGGTACTTTCAACAATAGCCTTCACAGGATCTATAAAATTGGAAATAAGAAACTCTGGGGGAATTGTAATCTCAACATAACCATCATTTGGTTCAGACATTGTCCCATCTCCAATTTTTAAGATCCACTCGGAAAAAATTCGAATATCCTCTGTGGTACTTGTCGTTGCTCCATTTTACAAGCGCATATTTTTTGTAAGTTTGAGTACCTTGCAATGATCCCAAATATATGAAGCATTGATGGTTGCATGAATAATATCTGATCTAGTACCTCTTGGTATAACAGGAAGAATTTGTCTGAAATCACCACCAAAAACAACAACCTTCCCTCCAAAAATGTTTTGGGACGCTTCTCCATTAATACTCATAATATCCTTCAAAGATTTGTCAAGAGCCTGAAATCAAAATTTGTTAGCCATTGGAGCTTCATCCCATATGATTAGATCAGTCAACTTTAACAGACCAGCAAGATCATCTTTTTTGTCAATGTTACAAATTGAAGATTCCAAAGTAGGGACTGGAATCTTAAATTTAGAATGAGTTGTTCTTCCACCTGGTAACAACAAACTTGCAATCCCACTTGAGGCAATAGGCAACACAATTTTTCTTTTAGCCCGAAGTGCAGCTGACAAAGTGTTCCACATAAATGTTTTACCTGTTCCACCATATCCATATAAAAAAAACACACCACCTTTTTTATTTTCTACAGCTTCCATTATTTCTTCAAAATTATTTCTCTGCTCATCTTTAAAAAACCATTATCCAAAAAATAATTAGTATGACCAACATCAATATTAATTGATTAAATGAAATAAATGAAATTTGATGTTACCTGTAAGAGATGCGTGTAAATTTAAATATACTTGTTGTTGAGCAATCAGATCATATTGTCTCTCATTATAAATAAGCCTATTTCCAAGAAAGGCATTTACATAATCTATCGGATATGGCATTGGATTGTAGTCCTTCAAAGTCTTCTTGTTTTTTTGCAATTGTGTTTTAATCGCCATAAGTGTCAGTTGTTTTATTTCTTCATCTGTAAGTATCAATCCTATGGTAATAAAAAGTCATATTTGAAACACCTAATATTAAAGTAAAGAGATATAAAGTAGAAACCCATGAAAGAATTAATGTACCTGGATTTCCCATCAATATACGTTGTTCATAAAGAATACCATCTGATAAGTAGAACCATGTACTATTCCAAACATGTTCGGGTCTATTCATGCATGATGATAACAACATTGTAACAAACAATTTTCGTAAAAATACACCAGAACCCCAAACATGGGCCTCCTTAATTGCCTCAGTAAATTCTATATCATCTTGTAAGAATCCCATAGCAAAGCATGCTTCTCTAAAATTGTTGTGTTGTACACCATTAACAAATTTGATATCTTTGTAACATAATGACCCCTTTTTGAAAGTCAACATGATCCGTAGATAAAATAATTCACCTGTGCTTTGAGGAACCCAAATAAGACGACCAATGGTATACCCTTTTTTCCTAGGTTTCTAACTCCTACTTGGTTTATGGTAAACAAACTTAGAGACAAAATCACCATATGTTAACAATCGTGCATCTTCAAATTTTTTGTTTGCCTCAAACCATGCTGTAAACATTGATTCGGTTACACTTGGTTTGAGTAAAACATTTCCAATTTGCTCGAAGTCTTTGTAGTATACAGAATTTTCTCCTTCTAAGTGAAAATACAATCTTTCAACAGTCGGCTTCCTACCGTGAATAGAATACGCAAATATCCTCCAACATGCTTCACTTGGGGAGATGTATTGACAATCTAGATATTGCTTAATTTCATCAATGTGATTTTTTTTAGCACAAGTAATGTTGTCAGAAGTTTGAATAACAGCAAAAATGCGATCAAAACCTTTATTTATGTATTTGAACAGGTACTTGATAGAAGTACTTTGATTGCACCATTCCATGTTGATATGGGCTTCATACTTTAACAATAAACTTGGATTGTGAGGAACCACATGACCATTGTTAAGGATGGTTCCATTTTTCTCAATTGTGTGCCCATTGTCTCTTCTCCTATACACTGGATAGCCATCTTGATCCACAATTATTGAAGATTGGAATTTTTTTGGGTAAAACTTCGAGCATTTCATGTCTTTCATGCAAGGTGAATTTCGATTTACCAAACCACAAGGACCATGAACCATGTGAGTTTTAACTAAATTGTACAACTTTGGGTCTTTCAAAGGATCGGGCATTTCAGCACTAATGATTTTGTCAATATCTTCAGATGTTGGATACTTGTTAGAAGGATGCAAAAATATCAAAATATGTGCATGTGGCAACCCTCTCTTTTGAAACTCAATGGTGTACATATCTATAAAATAATGAAAAGAAAGACTTAGAATTAACATAAAAAAAATAAAATTAAAGTAAAGTTGAGAAATATAACTTACATGCAAGTACCTTGCCTAATACACCGGTCTTTGTTAAATCTGAAAGTAATTGATCAAACTTGATTTTGAATATCCTTGAAATAACATCTGGTATATCTTGTGCTTTTAAATGAAGAGGTGTCAATACTCTTTGTATCTCAGGCCAATTTGGGTAACAAGTAAAAGTTATGAATAAATCGGGGAATCCCGTTTTACTACAGATACATGCCATCGTAGTACAATTAATCCATAAACCTACGACCGCCAACATAGGAAGATGGCAAAACCACTCTTTTCCATATGGTTGATCCTGGTGTTTGACTTTGATCACCTTCATCATTAAGATTGTTGTACTTTGACACCCTGAGTTTTGGTTGATTTTTTCGGATCCATTCTAATTTTTCAGACTCTAACATCGTGTAACCATCAACCAAAAATTCTTGGAATAGTCGTCGTGATGATAACAGTGTCTTAGCTTCATTG